CCCCCCACTGAAGGACGTCTCAGCAAAGATCTTCTCTTCAGCTCCTCCTTGCCCTGCTATTCCAGCTCTCCCTTGTTTTGTCCACTAGGGGACATCTCAGCAAGGATCTTCTCTACGCCAGTGAATGAAGATCTTCACACCCAAAAAAATTCTTTTGAGAAAGAGATGTATTTGGGAAGGAGGAGTCCAGGAGAGGGGCTGCCTCCACCAGGGTGGAGAGAACAGCCTTTTTTCTAACTGACTAGGCAGGGTGGTTTACACAGGAAGTCTAGGGGGTGGAGTCAACCCCGGGTCGAGGGTTCTACTATCCTGCTCTGTGATTGGTTGGTTTCACAAGTCAGTTGGCCAGGGGCAGAGATAGTGATCTGACTGAGCCAAATTGTGTTTCTTTCTGCCCTAATCGGAGCCATCTTTCCCTATTTCTGGGCTCCAGGGTCAGGGTGGGTTTCTTTAGCCAGCCCCTTTTCCCTACAGTATCAGTCAGGATAATTATTTTGCAGCCTTTCCCAGGAACCCTGAGAACATTTTGAAATGTACCAGCTACCTCTCAATAGACCCCATAGGCCCAGAAAATGGTGCATGGCTTTAAATGTCTCCAAAGACAGTCTGAGCAGAAAATGAATGATTTAATACAGAACAGCTATAAGAGCTACACATGGTTAGAATGTCTCCCACCCAGGGATGTCCTTCCTGAAGACAGTTGAAGCCAAGGTAAGCCAGTAAGTACTGACACCAGAACACAGAGATGTTCTTGACAAGTGGCTGTGACTTTCCATATTAAAGCATGGTGCTTTACTGATAGTTACTGTTTTGTCTGGGGCCCCTGAGTTGAAGCTTGGTATTGATGGGGCGTAGGAGCCTCTGAGCAGCCCCCTAGCTGAGTGTTTCTCAACTACATCTTGGCTTCTCTGCATCCAGCCACCCTCTACAGTGACATCCCAGCTATTCACAAGGAAGTTGGGTTTTCCTGTCCTTCTGGCAGGGAGTCTCCTGCTTCCTGACTTCCTGCTCATTCTCTGGAAGCTACTTGTTTCCATCTTGCTCTGGCCAATGCAATGTGCATGAGTGACCCATTTCTCACGCATGGGAGCAGCCAGCCTCCTTTGCTGTGGGTATTTTAGTCACTTTAATAGAGAAGTACCCTGAGAACAAAACTCCCCAGAAAGCTATAGCAACTCCTGGAGACTAGTGTCGTGGACAGGAATGTGGACCCAGAGTGGATGTGTTGCAGGAGGGACATAAACTTTACTTGTGTTAAATAACTGGCATTTTGCAAACTTTGCTGTGGATACAACAGATATTGTCATTCTGATTTCAGAGACAAGGAAACTATAAAACTGGTATGTAATACTAAAGGGTTTTTTGTTTGTTTGTTTGTTTGTTTTGGTTTTTGGTTTTTGGAGACAGGGTTTCTCTGTGTAGCTTTGTGCCTTTCCTGGATCTGGCTCTGTAGGTGAGATTGGCCTCGAACTCACAAAGATCTGCCTGCCTCTGCCTCCCGAGTGCATGTGCCACCACCGCCCGGCGATACTAAAAGTTTTTAATTCAAACTTCTTTAAAGAGTTTGGTGTCTCCTCCCCATTACTTACAACTCCTATCTCTTCATTTTTCCCTTTAACAATTCTCTTAAAATATTTGCTATTTTTATTTTATGTGTATGAGTGTTTTACCTACATGTATGTAAGTACCCCACATGTGTGCCTGGTACCCATGGCAGGAAGAGGGCATCAGATCCCCTGGAACTGGAGTTATGGGTCGTTTGATTTGCCATGTAGGTGCTGGGAATCAAACCTGGGTCCTGTGGAAGAGTGGTATGTGCTGAGCTTTTAAAAACAGTACCCCAGATCTACCCCACGCCCCACCCCCTGCCTCCACTGATCCCCACGCTGAGAACAGAGACTGCACCCTGAAGTGCTGGCAAATGCTTGATGATTGGTGTAATCGAATGGGTTTCAATATGGTGTGTGATAGTTTTCAATATAAAACAATCCAATCTGTGATGATTTTGTCTTTGAATATTTTTATGTCAGGGACAAGGACAGAATCTCTAGTTAATGGAAAAATACAGACCCCCAGAAGACAGGGAACTAGAATATCTTATGGTCAGGTTGCCTAGCAACAGGACATTGAGTCAGAGCCCTTGACCCTTTCACCTTGTAAACATCCTATACAAACATCCTGTTAGCTTGCCCCACCCTATGCAGATAACAGCTTCTTGCTTCCCCCACCTTGCAGGGACTATATAAACCCTCCTGGAGAAAAATAAAGGTGCACCTTGATCAGAATCTTGTCTTGGTGTCTTCCTTTGTGCCTCCTGTTCCTATCATTCCGTCCTTAGGGTGGTCGAGTTCCCATTGAAGCCCTGCTGGCCGGGGCAACTGGCGCCCAAAGTGGATTGAACCACCTCTTAAGGTTCGGAACGTCGTCTCCCGGAGGAAGACCAAGGGCTTGGTGAAGTTGTTGCATCCCCCTGAAATGGCCCGGTTCAGGACTCGATCCCAGAGGAGAGCGGAGATGACACAGGTAAGAAAGTGATGAGCCATGGGACAGGCAACTTCGTCATGAGATTTATTCATTTCTGGCCTAAAAGAGCCCCTCAAGACACAAGGAACAAGGGTAAAGAAAAAAAAGCCGTTTTGATTATTAATGACATTCTTAGGGTCTATAAACATCCCTCTGACATACAAGAGGTTATTAATATAGGAGAAAAAAATCTTAAAACAAGCCTTCCACTCCCCCTCTACCTGCCGTAAGACACCCCCCTCTCCCCCCGCCGCCCCAAGTGCTTTCTCATCCACCTTCGGTCTGTCTCTCGGATCATGACCTGCGCTCTATGGAAGAGGGGATGCTTATGACTTTTAAACCTAAGAATCCTCAGGAGTCTGCTCCTGCCCATCTTTATCCCTCTGTTAATAATTTTACCTCTAACTCCCTTCTAGACCCCACTGAGGAGGCTTCCCTGGAAAAAGGGGTGGCCCGTTACCACAATCCAGACTGGCCCCCCTGCAAAAATCTCCCCTTAAAACAGGAGTCCCTGGGCCCTTTTAAACCACCTCAAAAATCTCCACCGGTTCCCCGTTCCGCAATGCCCCCTCCCTATGTTTCTCCATCTTCCCACTTTTGGGGCCCGTTCTTGATGAGTTGGCTCCCCCGTCCCAGATCTCAGCTCATTGCGATGGGCCCTCCAGGCTCGCAGGGAACATATTGAGTTTTTAAGGGAATTGAAAACTCTTGACAAAGAACTTAAAAGACCTCGACCTTGAAGTGGTGGCTCCCGGCTTGCTAAAACCATCTCAAAAATCTATTAAATCAAAAATTAAGCCTCAGCCTGTCCTGGCATTTCCTGTTACCCGGAGCCAGACCTCTGGGGACTCATCTGAGGCGGCTGCCAGAGCGGCTCCTCAGAGGGTTTGGAAGACCAAAATGAGGAGGGGAGGAAGAGGAAGAGGAGCCGTCATCAGAGGACCCCCCACCAGGACAGACTTATCACAAATTAAATTTCCGCCTTGTTAAAAAGCTGAAATCCGCCTGTGCTCAGTATGGTCCTACGGCTCCTTTTACATTAGCCTTGGTGGAAAACCAGAGCAAACATTGGTTGACCCCTAATGACTGGTATTTTCTTGCCCGTGCGGCTCTTTCTGGGGGTGACTTTGTCCTCTGGAAAACAGAATTTACAGAAAATTGTCGAGAAGTTGCTCAAAAAAATATTGAACAGCCGTCCTCAAAAACTTGGACACTAAAGAAACTCCTCGGCAACCCCCCTTATGATACAAATGCAGCACAGGCAAAATTCCCTCCTGGCCTCCTGGCCTCCTGGCCCAGATTCAAAACGCAGGGGTCCGGGCCTGGAAACGCCTGCCCCAAAAGGGTTCAGCTACCACCTCATTGGCAAAGATTCGTCAGGGCCCTGATGAGCCTTTCAGCGATTTTGTCTCTCGCTTAAATGACGCAGCTGAGAGATTGTTCGGGGGGTAGGTGAAAACGAAAACACCTTTGTTAAACACTTGGCCTTTGAAAACACAAACCCTGCCTGCCAGGAAGTCCTCCGCCCTCATAAAAACAGAGCGGACCTGTCTGAATATGTCAGACTCTGTTCGGGTGTTGGCGCCCTGAGGGCTTCACAACAGCCTGGGGCCCGCACCTGTTACTTCTGCAAACAACCGGGACATTTCGCTAGGGAATGCCCACAGAAAGGTCACAGCCTCGCGCCCTTAGCCCAGCAGGCCCAGGAGGCCGCCTCTATGAGGCCCCTGCCTTCCACTCTCTGCCCCCGCTGCAACAAGGGCCATCACTGGGTAGAGAATGCAGGTAACAAGGGCACCTATTTTGAAGTTTTGGCACAGGAAGAGGCCTGGCAGCCAGAGAGTAAATGGCATTGGCAGATGAGGAAGGCTTGATTTTTGGGTACTCACTCTCTGGACCTGCTATTGGACTGTTATTCATAGTCATGGAAGTATCCAGACTAAATGTGCTTCCAAGTCTAGGAACATCTCCTCTAGGTTCCATTTGTGAAGGCAATGAAAATGGAAGTGAGTGCTGATTGGTCAGTTCTCTTCCATTCCAAGGATCACTAGGGCTTCGGGTAGCTACTGGTACTTTCAGGATTTGCCGAGGTAATCATGAGTCCCCTGGGCGGCTAGAGGAGGCAGGGGGTAGTTTGTCTCTAGACGGGCAATCGCCTGGTGTACAAGACAGGGGCCATCTCTGAGATCGTGTTTCTGCTCCAACAGAGTAAGGCTGGTCTGGAGGGGGTGATGGTGGAAGATCTTGAAATGTAGGAGGTATTGGCAATGGTTTGTCTTTATGAAGGGAGTCAGAACCAGCCTTGGAAGTAGTTCCCAGGACTGAAGTGCTGGCAGGACCAGATGCTTGCTGTTGTGGGGGGTCAGGTCTTGGTGGCACTGGAGGGAGGGAAGCCTGTGGGGCCATGGAGCATGGAGGGGAAGGCCTTTCCACCTTGGCACCTGCCAACTCCTTCATCAGGAAGAGAGAGTCAGAAAGGCCAACAGAAAGAAGGAAAGTCTGAGAAGGCCAGCAGCCTTCTGATTCTCATGATGTGAGGTAGGAGAACATTCAGCATTAACACCATTGCTGATCGTCACAGAAAGACTAAATCCTGTTAATGGTGCCATAAAGAGATACACTCTGCTCCCAGATGGTTACTAGAATTCCTGGTTAGAGCTGTAAATATACCTGATCTGCCCAGGAGAGACAGCCCCTCTCCTGAGGAAACTTCTTCTGTTTCAAATGCTGTCCCTCCAGGCTGTTGTCCTCGCCCACAGCAACCTCCACCAGCCCTGTAGCTCTGTTATCACTCTGCCCCACCCTTTTATGAAAAGAATGGCTGTTGATTTAGCTTACGTAGTATGTGGGTCACCAACTTCCGTTCCCTTTCCTTGGAGTTCCATTGGCTGAGCTCTAGCAAGCGTGTCAGTTAGAATGGCACGTGAAAAGAAAAAAGATGGGGAAACGATCTTTATTACTGATTAATAATGCTATGTTGGTTTTTCAGAGTTCCTGTGGGGGGACAGTGGGAACTTTACAGCAAACTGTGTTTGAGACCTTTCACACAGCACACAAGTCCCATGGTCAATCATGTTCTGGGCTGAGCAGGGACACTGCTTGTCACAAATCCAGTCTGACAGCAGGGGCCATGTTTCCAAGGGCAGTGCTGAATTTTCATCCAAAGTGTCAGAAAGGCTTGTCGGACTTGCTGGCCTTGGTGTCACAGGTGGTCATAGCTGCGTTGAGCCAGCTTGACACGGCCTGTGGCTGGCAGGTAGCACAGCAAACAGGGCAGCAGCAGAGAGAGGGCACCCATGAAGGACCGGTGGGTACAGCAGTGGGAGCGGGAGCAGGAGCAGGGATGGTCAGCGCAGGAGCCCTCATCATCCTTATTGGTGCAATGGTAGAAGATGCCTTTTACTAGGCACATGCATATGCCGTAGACCCAAATCTTCCTCGCTCAGTTGATTCTAACCTTCTGCTTACAATGATACTCTTTTAAAAAATCCTGTAACACTGATGGCAGAGGAAGCCCACCGATCCTATCATATGCAGTGCACCTGCAGATCACTGGGTCATGTCACTGTGTTGCCACTCAGGTTCCTTCCACCTAGACTAACCTATTAGTCCTCAGATCAATTCCTAGATCTCTAGGAAGAGAAGCTGCACCGAGACGACTGCCTTGACGGGAGCCTGTTACTGCCATCACCTTAGCAGTCCTTCTGGGGGTTGGAGCAGTGGGAACAGGCACAGGGATTGCCTCTCTGGTCCTGTCCAACCAACATTACTCTGAACTTCGACTCTCCATAGATGAGGATATTGCCCAACTTGAACGGGGAATTTCTGCCCTCGAGTCATCCCTTTCCTCCCTAGCTGAGGTAGTTTTACAGAACAGGAGAGGCCTGGATCTCCTCTTTCTACAACAGGGTGGCCTTTGTACTGCGCTCAAAGAGGAATGTTGCTTCTTTACAGACCACACCGAGGTAGTCAGGGACAGTATGGCTAAGGTTAGAAATGGACTAGAAAGAGAGAAAAAGAAAAGAAGAACACGAGCTTGGGTGGTTCTAGAATTGGTTTTCCAAACTCCCCTTGGCTAACGACCCTTCTTTCTTCCCTCCTAGGACCTGTTGCAGGCCTGCTCCTGGTCCTTGCCTTTGGGCCATGGGTACTTTCCTGGCTCACTCGGTTCATCCAAAGCCAAATAACAAACCTGCGGGCCAGGCAGATCCAGGTTCATTACCACCACCTTGATATGCAGGACTCCAGGGTTGAAATTTCCCCTGATGAGATGCCCCACACAGACCCCTTCACTCGGGGGAGGCTGCACCTGTGTGTGAGAAAAAGGCTCACTCAAGGCATGATTGGAGTGCAGCTGGAACTGCACAGGCTGGGGACCATGGTACCCCAAAATCCTGAGAGCCTGGATTATATGCCCTGTTGCATAGCAGTTGTGCAGTAGCAGCCTTGCGCTTATCCATTTCCGCTCCCTCAAAAAACTGCATGGTCCATTGATTCCCGCACTATGGGGACACCCCTGGTGCTTGAGTCTGGAGAGACATTCCCTCTCGGACCTTTTCACAACCTTTAGAGCGATAGGGCCTCTGTAATCCTCCATGCAAAGCCTCTTTCAGAGCCCTCCTTTTAGACCATTCGAACCTGGTTTATGTTGGCCCTTAGATTATTACTAAGAAGGGGGAGATGTCAGGGACAAGGACAGAATCTCTAGTTAGTGGAAAAATACAGACCCCCATAAGTCAGGGAACTAGAACATCTTACAGACAGGTTGCCTAGCAACATGACATTGAGTCAGAGCCCTTGACATTTTCACCCTGTAAACATCCTGCATAAACATCCTACACAAACATCCTGTTAGCTTGCCCCACCCTATGCAGATAACAGCTTCTTGTTCCCCCCATCCTGCAGGGACTATATAAACCCTCCTGGAGAAAAATAAAGTTGCACCTTGATCAGAATCTTGTCTTGGTGTATTCCTTTGTGTCTCCTGTTCCTATCATTCCGTCCTTAGGGTGGTTGAGAACTTGTTGAAGCCCTGCTAGCCGGGGCATTTTTAAATGTTTGTGTATATATGTATGTGTATGTATGTATGTATGTATGTATGTATGTATTACACATACAGTGTTCTGCCTGCATGCATGCTTACAGGCCAGAAGAGGGCACCAGATCTCACTACAGATGGTTGTGAGTCACCATGTGGTTGCTGGGAATTGAACTCAGGACCTCTGGAAGAACAGCCAGTGCTCCTAACCTCTGAGCCATCTCTCCAGCCCGTCTTTAAATATTTTAAATTACATTTAGTGTGTGTGTGTGTGTGTGTGTGTGTGTGTGTGTGTGTGTGTGTGTGTGTAGAACACCACTTGTGGGGGTTGGTTCTCTCACTATGTGGGACACAGGGATTGAACTCGGGTCATTAGCTTGGCAACACTCCACCCTCTGAGTCACCTCTCCTGACTAGAGATGATTTTTCTTAGTGGAGAAGTTCAACATTTTTAGGAAAAGTAAAATATTTGCTACATATTTGTAGCTGGAGAATTTTCTCTCCAGCTCTCGCCAACCCCACCAGTCCTGGAGCCCACTTACAAAATGAACACATTGGACTCTTATATTATTTAAACTGTTTGGTCTAATGGCTCAGGCTTCTAGTTATCTAGTTCTTCTATCTTAAACTAACCCATTTTTATTAATCTACAAGTTGCCACATGGCTCGTGGCTTACCGGTACCTTACATCTTGCTCATCATGGCGGCGGCGGCTTGCAGGTCTTTCTCTTCCCTTCCTGTTTTCTCAATTCTCCTCTCTGTTAGTCCTGCCTATATGTATTTCCAATTTGTATTATAATTGGTAACCATTTATCAAAGGCCAAACTACTGTGCTGGGCAGTTTACATAAAGTGGCCCAGTGGATTCTGGTGTGACAGACGTCTCCAGTCGCCTCTTACCTGTGTCTGCCTAGCACTCTTCCTCCTGAGAGGAGGAGTCCTTCCCACTTGTCTGGGACTTAGGTTGTCCTGTGACTTCCTTTGGACCATTGGCAAGTAGAAGTGACATTGTGCTGTTTTGAGTTCAACTCTGAAGACAGGAAGTTTCTACTTTACTGTTCTATGGGGGAAACCCAGAGCCTGGCACATTGCCTGGGCACCATAAAGGTCTAGCTTAGGTGATATTTGTGGATCACACAGAATTAACAAACTCAAGGGGGTATAAAAATGCAGAAATTTCCATGAGGTCTCATCTTTTACATTTATTTACTTACTTACTTACTTACTTACTTACTTACTTACTTACTTACTTACTTACTTACTTTACTTGAGACAGTGCCTCACTGTGTTGCCCTGGCTGATCTGGAACTCGCTATGCACTTCAGGCTGACTTTGAACTCACAGAGATCCACCTGCCTCTGCTTCCTGGGTTCTGAGATGGAAGACATGCACTGCCACACTCTTACCCTTTCTAGGGCAAACTTGAGGAAGAGAGTCTCTTATACTTGGTTTGACTCCCCTAAAGATCAGAGAGGTCATAGGGTGGGTCTAGATATGTCCCCACAGAGCACGGGCACCCCTTAAGGAGATTATACCAGGGAATTTCTAGAAACACAAGTGTCTGGAGGTTTCTCCAGTCCTCCTTTTTCCAGATCTGCCCTCTGCCCTGTGTCGACATGCTGCTGTCCTTGGCATGGACTCAGTGGCTAAACCATATGAAATTCTTGTGTTGGGGAACATTTCCCACGAAAGGGCAAGAGTTCCCACGAAGGCTGCGGCTTCACAGTGTGTTTGCAGGGAAATCAAGGAGAACGGATATTCCCAGAGGGATAAAGTGGCTGAGATTTCTGTCAGTCATGAGCCCTCGTCCTCTACGTTCCTCTTGGTCCTTTTCTCCCTTTCTCTCACAGGGTGGGAAAAGCTGCCATGGCTGCAGGAAAGATAGAAACACAGATGAGGTGTGGCCCTGTGAGAGGGTCCTGGAGAGGAGGTTTTTTCTTACCAGAGAAAGAAGAAAATATGTGTGGCTGACATTGCAGCTGGAAATCCCTGGTCCCCCTCCCTCCTCTGCTGCGCCTCTGCGGAACTACCCAAGATCTGGCAGAATTACCCCATCTGGCCAGAGGCCGCATGACCTCCGCTTCTTTGGATAACTCCCAGGCTGGCCCAGGGGAACTGGGAGAGGCACAACATCCCACAAAAATCAGGTGTCGGGGGTCTCTGAATGGCTGTGAGGCCTACAGCTGAGAAGTGAGAAGGCAGGCCTTCTGTCTGCAGGAAAAGTTGTGAGGGAGGCCTCACCAGCACCGCGGGGACCCTCACCAGCACCGC